CCTGCTGAAGCCTGGAAAGTGTATAATGCAAGTGTTTGCTCGGCGTGTGGACGTAGTTCCCAAGTTGCTGCTGCTGCTCGCTTGTAGCGAGCCCTGGCATTGCACGTTTGGGGAGCCTGCCCTCGCTGGAGATAGTCTACAACCTTTCACATCCAGAGTATTTATTTGGTGTAAGAGCGAAGCCTGATAACAAGCTAAAAACCGTAGCCAAATATCTATTTTGTTAGAGAATAGCAGGCGGATTGTTTCCAAGAATAACAATGCGTCTTTGATATACCCAGAACGAAAGCTGTTACTATAACTGGCTTACTCAAGAGTAGGTGACTGAAATCCATTTGCTTCCTCAACAAAACAATTAGTGGCTCAAATTCCATATTTTCAATCTGGCTTAGACTAAAAATATCAATAAGAATGTCTTCAAAGAAGTTGAAAGTGCGACTTCAATAAATATTGACTCTTCTGAATTCTTGTTGAAGTTATTCCTTAAGAAAAAAAAAAAAAAAAAAGCAACAACCTGGAGCGGAACAGTTAAGAATCTGAGACGAACTCTTTCTGTCGCCTCACTCTCTGCATTCAGCACACCGCGCTCTGGCGTGGAAGGTCTGCTGAAAAGACCATTCATTTAAAATCCGGGCACAAATCACATTTTACGTGTGTTTATTTAACTGCGCCAGGACAGAGCGAGCAAATCCCGCCAACCATCCCGTTGTTACGAAGGGCCCCGGTGCCCGAGGAGTCACCGCTTTTACCAAATGCTGAACTTGGGGCAAAACTGCAAGCATTGCCCCGGCAGCGAGCGTAGGAAAGGAGCGCTCCCGCCCGCGGAGGCAGGAGCAGCCTCGGGGGCTGTATCATTCCCAGGAACAAAGGAGCGAATACAGTCGATACATTCCATAACGTTTACATTTTCCCGCGATTTTTTCTTAATTTCCCCTTAGAAGTAGTGACCTGGGCAAAGCACCCCGCTATCTAAAAGACACTGTTATAGACCTTTTAGAAAAACTAAGTCCAAGGCCGAGGTGAACTTCAGGTCACTGCGTCTAACAAATATGAAAATGTCGCCTGGTGAAGGGCACGCCTTGTTATTTAACAAAGACTGTCAATGTGTAAGATTAATAAGAAACAAAATGCACACGGTGTCACTTTTCGGTCACTTTGAAACTTGGGACAGCCTCGCATTCAAGAGGGGAAAGCTGGGGCTAAATATATTCAAAATGGTTCAAATCAAATTCAAACCAGGCTGCTAGTGCGATTCTTCCTCCTCCTACCGCTCGAGGTGGAGGATGCCCGGGCACGGCGAAAGGTTGACTTGAATTATTATTATTGCTATTACTATTCTTGCTGTTATGATGATTTTTCTCTTTCGGGGTAATTACGTTTTAGCCGCGCGTGTGGAGGGTGGCAGGAGTGCTTGCCTGTTTCACAAGAAAAAGGGGGATCCCCCTTTCCGCCCTCTTTGGGTATGTATGAGGTTGCCTCGTCTTGGTGCGTGAAAATTGACTCTCTCCCTCTCAGCTTAATTCCGGTGGGGTCCCCATCTCCTCCTCGGCCAGCCTTGGCCAGGAAACTCTCGCTCCTTTATTAACTGATTGAAGTCTCCTTCGCCAGTGAAAGCGAGCCTTTAGTCCTTTTGGAAAAAATAAGGGAGCTGGCCTATTTTTTTCCTCTCCTCTCCTTTCTTTGAGAAGCTTAGGGTGATGCTACAAGTTTGTTAAAGGGAAGTACCGGGGAAAAAAAGGGTTTCTGAGATTGTTTATTACAGCCATAAATCTTGCAGTAAAATGTCGAAATGGCCGTGTGCAAGATAACACTTGGTGGTCTTGGCTGGGTTCTTGTTTATGATAACAAAACCACAAAGACATGGAACAGGCCTTTTGGAGGTCCTGCCTCAGCACATCTTCGCAGACTAATAGAACCACACGAAAAAAACAGACTTCAGCTGAGCAGCTCAGGTCACCTTGCAGATTTACAGTCGTACACAAAATTGCATCCTTCTCTCTGTAACCGAGCGCCAGAGCCCCACGGTAGAACGAGGCGCAGTGAAACAAGTATACTTTGAGATCTAATCACAGTAAATAATACGAAACAGAGCCCAGTCAGCTCGCCCAATGTAGCGCTGCGCTTACAAACCGAGACACCACTTTTCGTTGTGTTTCGCCGTGGCTCGGGAGCACGGCAGCCTGCTGTACTGCCCTGGCCGTAGTGTCTCAGGACTTATGCCGAGGATAATATTTACCATAAGCCAGTGTAATTCATCTGGTGCTGTCCGGCAGGTATTTGTACGTATGTGTCTGTATGTGTGCGCGTACCTCTTTACACCGGGAAAACACTCTCTGCTCGTGGTGGACTTTGGCAATCTTTTATTTTTTACAGTCGTGTAGGTGGGAGCTTTATTCTTTTACAACACGGGTTGCTGGTGTTTTCTGGTTGTTTTTTTTTTTTGTTGTGTTTTTTTTTTTTAAGATAAATAAAACAGTCTCCTCTTTCCTGTCAAATGTGTGTTGTTGAACAGTTGCGGCTGTCTCTGTGTGCGTGTGTGTAACCGCATTTCCTCTTCACGCAGAGTAAATAGAGAAACTTATCTATTACCCCAGTTAAAGAGTTCCATAGATGTGCTGTTGGAAATGAGTAAGTAAATGTGTTTTAACTCTCTTTACAAATTAGACATTCGCTAGGAGGAGGAAATGAGTGATTGTTTAGATAAGTACCCCAGTATACCCAAGTGCTGGAAATGTTCTAACATATTACAAGCCGTCTGCAATGTGCGTGCGTGCGTGTGTGTGTATAAAATATAAATCGATACGATGTGTGTCTCGTTAGATAGAATATATATTCAAATAGAATTTTATTGCATGTATCCATTACCTATAAAACTGCGAAAGACAATAATCTGAATTTAAACCAGGGTAACTGTTAATGTCATATCTTTAGGGGGGCAAGATCTAAACCGTATCGTATTTACGCTTGATATATTAGCTGTATTTTCCCACACCAGCAGATGAGATTACCCACTCAGCAATTATATTCTCGAAGGGTGCGGTAAACATTTCTACGTGTTTATATGCTTTCCTAAAAAGGAGGGGAAAAAAATCCGAAAAGTTCGCTTCGGAGTCCGAATGTACCAGACTTGCTGACGTTCAATAAGCTTCCCCCCCCCCGCCCCTTAGAATAAGAGCGTAATTAGTTAAACCATCAAATTTCAATTACCTAAGGTCAGGGCGGTTGCCTCTTTTCCCTCTGAGCTGCAAATATCGTTAACAGTCTCAGTTTTAGCAATGCAGAAGTGCCCGAGTGCCCTCTCCCTCCTACGCCAGGGTTTGCGAGTTACTTCTGCGAAGGCGCTAGCGATTTCCCGTGGAACAGAAAATCAAGAAATAAACCCCAGACGAGGCATACCAAACCGACGGACTTAAATTCGTAGTTTGGAAACCGCTCCTCCGCGGGGAGGGATGCTCGCAGTGAGCCCTGCGGTCGCCGGTAGGAAGTATTCGATACCGTCGTGTCCGCCTTCCCCTCGCTCCCTTCCCCCTCTCCTCCCCGTTATTTTCAGGCTCGCCGGATCCCTCGCACCCCGCAAGCCGCTCGAGGACTCCCCTCGGCCTCCCCGCCACCTTCCTGCTAACTTTTGCCTCTATTCCTCCCGTTAGCAACGGCTTCAAAGGCGCAAAGGGCTAGCCCCGGAGCTCCCGGCCGCCCGCGGTCCGCGGCGGCGGGGCGCGGGGGGCAGAGCCCGGAGGGCTGCCGGCGGCCCGTGCCCGGCAGCCGCTGCCGCCCTCTGCCTGCGCGCAGCCCCCACTCCAGGCGTGTGGAGATGGGCTCGTTTGAGAGGATTGTGCAACGCCTTGTGCAATGCCTGCCTCCCTCCGGATCGCGCAGCTGGGCTGCGCTCCGCTTCCTCGCCCCGCTTCCTCCGCGCTCCCGCGGGGGAACGTAGGAACAAAAAGTGCTGGGGCGGGGGGTGGGGG